GGACTGCACGTAAGGTGCTTAGAGCTGGCGGGGGACTATGACCCTACATGGGGATAGTTTTGTCGCATAGCCAGTGGGCTGGAGTTTATGTTCGGACCCAGTCTGGGAATAGTTTTTGTTGTAGACCGTGGGCTTATATATTGGTTTTAGTGTAAACCGGTGGACTGGATTGTGACTATCAAGGGAAGATACGAGCAGACTAGCCAGGGGTCAGGGCTCAAGACACAGACAGGGAGAGGCCGAAAGAGAGAGAGACCGAGGAGGTGGCCTGAGGCCAAGAAGGCTAGGCCCGCAGCCCGAGAGAGCAAAGACTATGGCCAGGGTCCTGCAGCCTGATCTCATAACTTCCTTGCCACTTTGGAAGAAGATATTTCAGGAAATGTGAAGTAGGGAGGCTTTGTTGATAAGAAGGGCTACAAGGGGAAAAAAAGTTAGAAGGGAGAAGCAAGTCGCTTAAAAACGTGTGAAATCGTGAGACAATGCAAGAAAAAACCCTACCATAACAGATATGCTAGATGTGCTTACTTCACAGAATAGCAATCATGCCCTGGATATGGTCAAATCCATGCTTTTAAATATAAAATGACAAGGGACTGTGGAAGGACACAAGTGTCAGTTCTCTTATCTTTACTCCCAAGGAAGTGATGGACCATGATACAGGCTTTAGAAACGTGCAGTGAAAACAAAAGAGGGACCCATCAAATCTGGGTGGATCACCATGTTAATGAGGAAGAATTGGTGACAGTCTGGAGTACAGGAAACCAGACAACTCCCCCTTAAGGAAGACTTAATCCCCAAAGTGCCAGTGTGGGGTGGGGGGAAAAGCAGTGCTTGACAATGTGAAAATAAATATGGTTTGTCACTCACAGCATGCGAATGCCTCAAACAGAATGACTCTCTGCTTTCAAAAGCTACATCAGACAAAGTCTGGTATTTCGGCCCTTTCAAATGACTGATGGACTGGCAGCAGCCACTGTGCCCTGGAGAAGGACATCAGTGTTTGCAGGGGCCAAGATAAAGAGCTGAGAAAGAAGTAGCTGTTGTTCTGGATGGAGGTGAATCTGAATTCTAGCAGGGATACTGTCCAATCAGGGCCTCCTTCTCATCCCCCTGCACCCCAGGATTTGTTTTAAGTCTCCTTCAAAGGAGTTCCTGTGACTATGAACCTCATAAAGTTACAGCAGTCAAAGATAAAACAGAATAGTCTTTGTAGTTGTCTGGAGAACACAGTAATAATTTGCCGAAATGCCAGAGATCTCAGTGAAAAGAGGCACTATTAATCAAAGGGGCAAGAGATTCCCTGGGCTAGGGACAGAAGTTTCACATAAACTGGTTTAAGTGATTGGAAACTGGTTTAAGCCTGTAACAGAACAGAAGGCCAGTGCACATAAACCAGTTTCAAAAGGGCTGACACTGGTTTAGGATAAACCTGGCTGAATGTAGTATCAGCCTTAACTGATTTGGGTCAAACTGGTTTATAAAACTTCTGTCCCAGACCCCTTCCTGGCTCAAGTTAAATCAGAGTCCCCCAGCATCCCAGCATGCTTTTCAGCCCTGGACTGGGCTGTGCTGTCTGCTCCAGAGAGCAGAGCTGGCCCCACCCCTCTGCTCCCCAGCTGGAGGGTCTGCGGACAGGGTCTGCGGACAGGGAGGGAAATTAAACTCGCCTTCCCCCGAGTACAGAGCTGCACTGCCCTGCTGGCTTACTCAGTGCTGGCTGCAGCTGTGGACTACAAATCCCAGAGGCACCTGGAAGCAGGAAGAGGAAGTGATAAGCAACCCTGCAGAGTCCTGCTGTTGTAATTGTGGACTGCAAATCCCAAAGACCTCGGGGGCAGCAGGAAGAGGAAGTGAACACACAGCCCATGCTGGTTACATGCCAGAGAGCCATGCTTTAGTGCCCCCTGGCCTCTGGCTTGAGCCACTGCAGGCATGTGGCTGCATTTCCCGAATCAAAAGTCAAATGTCTATTCATTTGCTTATTGGTTCAATCTTTGCAGCTTAGACTAAGCCCTGGGCTTTTTGACTGTCTGTACTTAGCCCTGATGATCAGCATGCATTTGCAAACTGCTTCTTTCAGCATTGAAACGTGAAGTGACACACCAAGAAGGGAGACAGACCCAATCGGAATTGGACTGGTTTCAGAAAGGATAGAAAACTGAGCTGTAAAACTCTGAGACGTATCCACCAGGCTCTGAGTTTGGGTTGTATTTTAAAAGCAGCAAAACAATCATGAGAACCCATTGAGAAACAGCTTGGGGAAAACTTTACAGGGAATGGGTGCTGAGAAATACTGTGTTAAGGAAATGCCAAGTGAGATGGGGGGCAAAATGAAGTGTTATGGTGGGAGATGAAAACTGGACCTTTCTAGCACACAAAAGAGTACAAGTATATACCAGTAAAAAGGAGCAGTTAGAAATGCTGACTTGCTTTTGGGCTACAGCCAACCAAGAGAGCTCCAAGTATCTGGTTTAAACTCAGCTTTCATTTAAAATAAAAACTGGTGTGATCAGCATAGCGCTGCTGATGTCAACGGAGCCATCACACCTTACCAAAAAAGGTCTAAATTCCTTGCCTGGTTCACCATGAAAGTCGCATATAAAATACAAAACGATCACAAGGGCTGCAAGTTCTGAGGAAGAAGCACTAAGGAAAAACCACAGGTTCCTTCATATTCCCCACCATGGGCACTGTCACCCTCAGCACTGGTAAAGTAGATCAAAAAAGAAAAAAGACTCCACAGAAGCTCTGAAAACGATCCAAGTGGATTCCTCTAGTTTCCCTGTCCAAAGATGTGATTAATCGTTGTATGTTAACAAGAACATTTTCAGCACCGCACAAGACATATGAGGCTCTAGGGACGTCTGAGGAATGGCCAGGTAATTAATGCAGGACGCCGTTCAATCCATTTCTTGGCTAAGTAACAGGCAACGGAAGAAGAAGTGTGGGAATTGCCGAATGACCTCACTCTCAGCCTCCACTAGCAACACCCACTGTTGGTTCGAATACCAGAAGGTGGTAGCAGTTAAGTAGCAACAAACAGGTTATCACATAAAATCAGACTGCATCTACTTTGCTGCTGGCCTATATTTCTCTAATGCCAATGATACTCACTGTAGCATGAGGACTCCTAGTACATTTGGCAGTGTTTGGAAATATAAGCTTTCAAATGATATAAAATGACATAAGCCCGGAATTGTGGATTTGTTTTATTAGCTCCCTGAAGTGCAGGGGACATAAATCTTTCCAAGGTAGTGGAGTTCGTTTCCACTATCTTGGAATTGCTAACATTTCTCAAAAGCCTTAAAAAGGAACACTGGTCTGTACTTGTATTTCAAAGGGCTGTTTGCCAAACTGCGGCATGTCTCTGTATCTGCCCAACTCTTACACAGAAATACAAATGCTACTTCTGGTGGTGTCGTTAGTCCAGGTGAAAGCTGAGGACCATATTAATCCAAGCGAATAGTAACTTTTTTCGGTGGAGCTACTCTGGATTTATTCTGGTAGAAGTGAAGTCAGAATTGTAATGCAGCCAACTCCAATGCCTGCTTTAAGTCACTTGTTCTCCAACCTGCCTGAAATCCTTCCCATGGAGACCATTCAGTGGCACCTAATGGGATCTGCTAGGATGGCACATTCCAACCTTGTAAAATTAGAGAGCATTTGAAGAGAAAAGGGTGTGTCAATGAGAAGGTCAAACTTCCCAACTATTAGCCTGTTCCTATTTACGGCTGCAAAAGCTGCATGCTCAAGTCAGCAAAGATGGCACTTTTGAAATGTAGAGTGCTAGCCATACAATGTGCTAAGAGTATTATGGAAAATAAGCAATGCAAAGCACAGAGCAATGCAATTTTTATGCCGTTGGCAAAGGGCAGGGCAAGAAGATGATGCTTTAGTTATTTAGATTTCTATCAAAGAAATACAGAGACAGAACATATGGAAGGCTACCATCTGGAGCGTGTGCACACTGTACAGGAACACAAGACTAGACACAATGTAAAAGATGGGGGGGAAAAATCAGTGGAAGATGACCTCAAAAATAGGCAGCAGCAGTGAACACTGGTAAATAGTGATATAAAGCACACCCTCCCCTCATAGACAATACATGATAAATAGACAGGAGCGTTGAGTGGTGTAGCGAGATAAGAGAATTAATAAACAGAGCTAAAGTTAATTACAAGAATCAGGCTGATAGGAATAAGCATGTAGAGAGACTGAGTAATCTGAAAAGTATCCTAAAGAAGAACATGCTTCTGCCAGACTTGTGGGAAAGAGAGGCATCTAAGAATAAAGCCTTGTTTAAGAGCAGACCACAGCCCCCTGCTAGCATCTGCTAATTTGCAACTGTGCAGGCTGAGAGAAGGTGACAGCTGTGGCCTGTATATAGGCCAAGAGCCACCTTGGAGTATAGTTCATCAGGCTGGCATGAGATCAATGTGGTCAGAGTCATGGGGAGGTGTTAAAAGTACTGGGAGAATACTTAATATTTAAAAAAACTAGTGAGAGCAGGAGGGAATGGGAGTCAGAGAAGACTGATGGTTATTTAGTCTGTACTGCTGGGAATGAGAAAAAGCACTCAAGCAGTGGAGCAGAAAGGGTCCGCAGGAGGGGGTCTCGCCACTGCAGCAGGCAGGAAAATGAGAGACCCGAAGAGGAGTTTTATTTTCCCGCCAGATTAAATTGGATTAAAAAAATGAATACTGAATAATAAGGATTTGTTAGAGCCGACAGCTCCTGAGGAAAGCAGGTGGGGCTCGTTTTAGTACATTAACACCAGCATTTTAAAACAAGATATTCCTTCGCAGAGGGGACAGGGAGAATATGGTGGTGATACAGGGCCAGGCTGGGATTCCCATTTATGCTGGAGCTGAACTGGGGTTCTGCCAGCACAACCAGTATCAGACTGCCGTCTCTTGTCTCCACCGCTTGAAATCGAGCAGTCCGGACCAGGTGAATTGTCAGCGTTATGGGATGACAGGCAGAGAGGAAGGGGTGCAACCATGAAAGGCAGAATAGAGGTCGTCGTCCCATTGTCTCAAAGAGACTTTGATGACTGTAGAGAAAAAAGAGCCAGGCCAGTATACAACCTTTTTAAAGAAAGTACAAAATCTGCTCAAGTGGTTGAAGTCACGCAGAGGGGGATGATGATTGAAGTTGAGAGCAGAGAAGGCTAAATAAAACGAGTCAGTCCGTGCTGACCATGGTACACTTTTGGAGAGGGTAGAGTGAGCACTAAGGATTTTTGGACAAGGAAATGGTGGATAGGATAGATATAATGATTTTTCCTCTTTGCACACAACTGTTTAATATGCATGGAGACATGCTAAAATAAAAACTTGCTGAATGCCCTAATGGAGAAAAGGATAGTGCCTCTAGCATATGTCTCCTGATGTAGTGACTCTTCTACTAGCCAGTGTAAGGTTAAAATTACACTTATAATATCTGAGGTTCAGCCTCTAATGAGAGAAGCAGATGATAGCATTGAACTGCTCTTCATTCATAAAATATATGTAGAGTCTGCAATACAACAATTAGTATCTTGTCATCATAATTTAGGGCACATGCTGTTCACCCATTAGGGTGCGGTCCAGAGTTATTTGCCTCTCAACCCAGCATAGCCAAAGAGAGCAGAAACATCAGTAGTCCTCAGAAGTGGATAAACCACCAGCTCCCATATTCTGCTATCAAGCTAAGCAATACCCAATTTGATACAGCTCGCTTTAGTTAGGGTATGTGATCAGTGAAACACAGTAATGAAATGAGTAGCAAATTTCTCCTAGCTAAATCTGACCTCACGTTAGGTTTTTTGGAAAGGGGACTGCCTTAAAATTTAGGTGATTTATTTTTACAATTGGGATTATTCAAAATGTGAGATCTCATTCCCTAATAAAACGACTCATGGATGCTATGGTTCCCTGTGATACAGGCACCACCATAAAATGTGTCCCAATTTAGGGAAAACATTTGTTAGCACTCAAGTAGCTCCTGAAGCATATTCTGAAATAAAGACCTTTATTTACAAAAGGTGTGACTGTCGCCCTATGCAGTAACTGCACATTTTGTGACGCTCACCCTTAAGAAGGAGCAAACGCAAAAGCAAACCAGCATACGGACACATGCTCAGTTGAGCGTCAGGACTCAAAGGGATGTCAGATAGCATCTGCCTCTGCCATCAGCAGCAACTTTCGAAAGCAAGCTGCACTTTCCATCTTCAAGCTCCACGCAAATCGCAGAACAACCAGACCGCTCTCAAAGCCACATGCCCGATAAATCTGTTTTACCTCCCAAGGTTTCTCTCTCCACCAGCTTTGCTCTCTCCCACAATGAAGCCAGTGTTTGAGCAGCGGTGGGAGATGGCAAATTCACATGTGGAACGTTCTGCACGCTGCCTGCATTTGCAACTGCACGATTTCCTTTATAATGACAGCATTAAACATCATCTGGCAGAGGCTTACAAGATCTGTACTTGTTTCAGTCAGTTAAATAAAAGCCTGTGAAATTCGTAGAGAACAGCGAGAGAGAAACAATTGACCTCTGGTCCTATTAATGTAGTAAGTGCCAAGTCAAGACAATTCTAATTCTGCCAAGTCAAGAAATATCTAATTCTAACATGAGAGGGAAGCTGGACAGAGAAAAAACTCCACACTTGAACATGCATAACATGCAACAAATTTGGAAAGTAAAATGAGGAGCCCCAGACTTTCCTTTCTTAATTGGTTATTTCTAATTAGGAAAATGAAAAGAGGGAAATAAAGTAAACTCTCTGAATCTGATTCTCCATCATGTTTCCTGCTGGTGAATCAAGATCAATGTAGTTTTGCCAGTGTCAAACCAGAACACCAAAGGCAGTGCACATTTAGGCTTAGTAACTTCAAATCTTGCTGGCCTGAAGTGCATGATCTCTTCTATTCACCCAGCCTCAAATCACTGTACAAAAGGTTTCACAGCTTGTCAACACCAGACACTGGGCAGAGATATTAAGGAAAAATATATAGCAGTGTCCCATTTGCCCAGATATAATCCATCTATTCTTGGTGTTTCTCTCTTGTTACTGGAGGGATTTGTCACTTTCCTCGAAGAATACATGCAAAAATAATTTGTTTAAAAAAATGAAAAGTTAAAGCTACATAAAACTTTTGGCTCCATGGGCCTTGTGCATCCAACTTCCCCTTAACCTAACCCTTTGTGTCTTGTCATGATGTTATCCTCCATTCAGCCTTCTCTGGGCTAATGAGCTACAGAGAACATTTCATTTACCTGTTTGGCTTTTCAAGTTTTACTGGTAAAATAGGCTTCTGGTCAGCCCTGGGAACTGAAATGATCTCTTTAACCAAGGAACAGGGACAGCAAACAAGCTTTCTTATGTTGTTCCACCAATTTGCCTTAACCTTCCTTTCGTTCACTGCCCAGCCTTGTGCAAATTATGCATGTCATGCCTGGCAGACTCTGCAGGGAAGAATCTTTAAAATCAATTCCCAACACTCCTGCAACACCTCCCTCAAGACCTCCTGCTGCGGATGCTGGCAGAAATCAGTCAATGATGTTTAGGCAGTGCCGCCTAAGGGAGAACTTAATTTTTTTATACTAATGTATTTATTTACCTGATAACCGATTTTCTAATTAAAACTGAAGGCAGCTTTTGATGGTACAAAAATCATGCATCCGCTAATTGATGTAACCACTTGATCTGGCTTTTGCTGTCCATCGTTCCTCTCATTCTATCAATATTGCATGAGGGGATGACTACCACTGCACCAAAACCTAAAGTCTTCATTCAAAACTCTCACTAATATCATTTGTATTATATCATTCATATTATTTGGGCAAAGTCCATTATTTGAAAGTGACCCATTAAGATGTAGCTCTGTGAACATTCAAGGAACAGAAGAGTTCTCCTACGTGGCACAGTGTACCTTACATCACAGGTATACAGAATTGCTGTTCAGTAAGGAACTATGACCATTAGACCATTTGTTTGCTTTTGTTTTCATTGGTTTCAGCAAGTAAAAGACTCGCGAGCTGTACTAGTCGGAGACATTTTTATGGTCACCGTGTCTCCGAGCTAATCGTGTTTTTTACAGCTTCCCCATGAGCTGGTTTGAATTTTGCACACATCAACTTTCAAAGTTTACTCCTATTAAAATACTGGTTGCATTTTGGGGTCAGTTTTGCTACCAATTTTATTACTTGCACTGATCAATGCAAAAAGAGAGTGAAAACACTGACATTTTCACTCTGGGTGTGCATCCCAGCACCCAACACAGGGTCCTTGATAGCAAGGTCAAGCCAAAGCAGGATTTTAATAAGCTCCTGAGCTACATTGCACCTAATAGGTTTATGGAATAAATGTATCCAGCCTGCTGCTGTTACGTGCTGTCAAATACCACAGACATTAAAGATAAGCCTGAACAAACACCCTTGATCTGAACCACAGAGTTTCCCCTGAGGGAGGTTTTAGGATCTAGATACTGAATCAGATCCAAACCTCCAGTTATCAATATCCATGAAAGTTGGAAACAGATATGAAATCCTAAAATAATCAAGAATCCTGGCATGGTGCCATTTCTAGTGGGCATATTTGTCAACCACGTTTGTATTCTTTTGAATGAATTTAGTACTGGGGAAAGGTTTTCAGAGAGAGAGTGCTAAAAAACGAAGGTCTCCCTTCATAAACCAGGAAAAGCACAAGCGGCAGCAATGCAGTATTCCCACACCGTCCTGAAGATGTGGCTCACAAAAAAGAGCACCTTTAAAAATGAGAAGGAAATCCAGGCTTCTGTTATTTCTTCAGTTTCTACCCCTTTGCGAGTGCAGCTAAAAATGGCCTGATCATAAAATAAGTTTTTGTTAAGAGAGAGGCGTCTTTCAGGAACAAAATTGAGACTGTGCATCACTCTGAATACAACCCTCTTGCCCTTTATTTGAAGTAAATGGCTCCAGTGTCAATGGAAGTAAATAAGTAAATAAGTAAACTTATTTGAAGTAAATGGCTCCCTACCTGCCTGCTCTGCACGCTCTTGTTGCCGCTAAATAGTCAACACTTACCAACAGTTACAACATTTTGCTATCTGTGATACCACAGTTATTCCCCATTCATGTGTAGGGTAATGGGATGTTAATTGAGGTGTCCTATGGGAGGAAACTTGGAAAATCTGATTTAAAAAATGATTGAGAGGAAAAAATCATTTCTGCATACAATAGATACCTCTTAATTGCCATAGCCACAGTCAAGTATCTCAAAAGAAATGGCCACTGCTGTCTCAGAAAGTATTTTCTGCTGGTACAGATTCACCTTTATTTAATCAACTGTTGCAAAAAGTAGCATTAAGATATTTTAAAATGGTGTTTCAGGCAGATTGGCTCATTTAAGATCCATAAAAGAGCAGTAAACAAAGGGTAAGCATGGGAAATACAGCAGACGCTAATTCACAACTCTAAACTGCTGTGACTCAGCTTGCAGACGTACAGGTGTGTCATTTACACACGTGGCATGAGCTCTTCAGTCATTATTTAGAGCCTTTTGAAATGCTTTATAGAGAACATTCCCAGGCAGTTATCACAATTAAAGTAGCCATGCCACTTATCACAAGAGAGAATTAAATGGGCTGTCTAATAGTAATAGCAAACCCATATTTGAAACCCACAGAGCATCATTAAAATCCGCTGGATTAGTAATTCTTTTTGGAAGATCCTTGTCATCATTAATACCATTAGCAAAGTAAATCCGCATACCGTATCCTAGAACGTACAGCTGTGCTACTAAAATGGTATTAACTGATGACTTTCAAATACCTCCTTTGCCAGCTAAAGCTGTAGGCAACAAGCATTTGCACACAAAAGATAACCTGCTCTCGATGAAATTTGTTCCTGAGCAGAAGAGCCCAGTTTAATGAGTAACAAAGGAATGAAGACTGAACCATGCCTTTGGTCCTTGCATCTAGTTCAAATAGACAGAAACCCCTGTGCCCATGAGAGGCTGGCTCACTGTAGGGCTGATGTCACGGAGACCAAATCGCTGCCAGGCTCGGGTGCTGCCATTTATGATCACAATATAACTAAATAAGAAACAACGACAAATGATAACAAATAAAAAAAACAATATAATTACCAGAAATCTTAATCCAGATGTACAACCTTATTGAATCCAAAACCTGAAGTAGGTTTTAAAGTCTACCTCTGATGTATTCAGCTTCTATTTAGAAGACACTGAGAAAAGAAGAAGAAATTCAATGAAAGTGGTTAATAGAATAGAAGGGAAAATTTCTCATGAAAAATATTATTTTAACACAGAGGCTACCTGTTAGCTAGAAAATTATGTCCTTTAACAACTGAAACATCCTTGAAGGAGGACACATGAGTAATTTTTTTTTAAATGTATGGGCTCAGACTAGTTTAGCAACCCTAAAATGTAATTTGGGCAGATCAAACACGAACAGTTCAGGAATGGGTGATCAAAATTCCTATTTCTTCTTCTTTTTTATTTATTAGAGTCTTAGAGTATGCATCCATTGTCCTAGGCATTTATCTATGAAAATGCAGACAAATATGTTGAGCCTGTGAAATGGGCAGGTAATTATTATCATTCCCATTGCACTGATGGGTAAAATAAAGCACAGAAATGATGGTGGCAGTCATGAATAGAGCCCCTTGTCTAACCTGTGGTGCAAATTGCCTAAAATTTGTGACATAAAGAAAACAGTTTCTTTTTGGTATCAGAAAAGTGCCGACTAACTCCCATAGGAGGAAAATGACCTCATTTTACATAAGGATATGATGAAGTGAAGCAGAAATAGCAGGAGACCATTTACAAAAGTCCTTTCCATGTGTGTGATTCAAGGCTTTGTTTCTTTTGTTCTCACTTAGGGATCTACAAAGGACATTGCTTCCGAATCAACCACTTCCCTGAAGACAACGACTATGACCATGACAGCTCGGAGTACCTTCTCCGTAAGTGGAAAGTTCTGTCTCCATAACAGAATTGAAGGATTAGGCTAAGCAACCCTATAGGTATCCATTTTGTAAATCTAAATCCAAGGGGTTTACTCATCCCAAGACATCATCCCAAAGCAGCAACCTGGATCCCGAGAACCCCAAACTTTAGACGTGTTGGGCCAAACCAAAACCCAATAGCTGCTCTTCTTAGAATGGACCTCTTCTCCAACAAGAGGCCATGGCAGCATACCCCAGAGACCCAGGGCAGCTATTTACTGCTCCATACTCTTCAAGCACGTGCAAGTGCAAGCTCTCCAAACCTGAATTAAACATGAAGAAGATGCTTGAGGGAAGCCAGTCCTCTGCCTCCCTTTCCCAAAATCTTCAGTGTCAGCACATCTCACCAGACCCCTTGGGAGCACTTAAGGCCTCTAGATATATATAGATGATAAAGGGGAAATGAGGGAGGATCAATTTGAAGCAAATTATGGAAGAGCCAATCAAATTGTCAGCCAGCAGTGACCAGCTCATGAGAACGGACAAGGCAGCGGTGGGGGATGGAGAGCAGCAGGGCTGGGGGGGCAAAGTCTAGGAGTTCTTGAACTTAGTCTAGGCAGATTCAGAGGAGAGTGATTTTTCACACAACTTTGCTCCCTCCATTTTGTCATGGCTCAGAGTGTAACACGAAAATAAGTGTTGTGCTGTTCCCAACGAATGGCAGTAACCCAGCACTAGGGATGGCAGCTTGAGGGCGTCCTCGCCTACTCCTGCCCTCCATGCACCAGTTTGGCAGATCTCATGGGAGTTGCCGTAGACTGTTGGAGCAGTCAGCAGGGGCTTAGGGGTATCTGCTCCAGCCAGAGTGGTACCCTACCCACCAAGGGAAATAAGGATGGGAGGGATGTTTGCTAGGCCTGTGTGAAGTGGCTAGTATTCGCTTCAGATTCGGCCAATTTGAGGGACAGTGATTCGATTCAGTGATTTGAATCACTGTCTCGAATCAATTCGTCCGAATCTGATTTGGCTACAGCTGAATCTCCAAATCTCCAAATCAGCCAGGCCCATCCCCCCTACCCACCAAGGGAAATAAGGATGGGAGGGATGTTTGCTAGGCCTGTGTGAAGTGGCTAGTATTCGCTTCAGATTCGGCCAATTTGAGGGACAGTGATTCGATTCAGTGATTTGAATCACTGTCTCGAATCAATTCGTCCGAATCTGATTTGGCTACAGCTGAATCTCCAAATCTCCAAATCAGCCAGGCCCATCCCCCCCAGCCCAACAACAAAAAAACCCCAGGACTCACCGCTCCTGCTGGAGGGGGACAATCTCCGCTGCCCCCTCCTGCCCCACAGCCCCCAGGCCATTGCAGGAGCAGTGAGTCCCGGGGTTTTTTTCTTAAAGGGATGGAGCCACAGTGGTTGGCACAGCCATGGGGGGGGAGGCTTGTGCAGAGCCCCCCATGCAATGGGGCAGTGGGGGGGAGCAGGGATTGCCCCCCTGGTCCCCTCCCCACTCTCCCAGCCTCCCCCTCCTCCGCCCCTAGTACTTACCAGCTCGAAGTCAGATACAGCTCCCTGCTGCAGCCACCAGGGATTGCCTGAATCATCAAAGACCTCCAAATCTTTTCCAGAGATTCGGAGAGCTTTGAATTGATTCAGACCTTTTAATTGGTCCCCTGATTAGATTCGGATTCGGAGATTCAGACAAATTTCCTCCAAATCGAATCACCACCCGAAGCTTCGCACAGCCCTAATGTTTGCTTTGTTCCATAGTAACACTCTTCATGTCAGTCATCTTCCAATGGAGGATTAAGCTTTACATAATAGCCCCTTCAGGTAGCCTGGGAGAGAGGATGCAAGACCAATTCTCCATGTTTCAAAGGTCTAGTCCCAGTAAACATGATAAGCAATCCTTAAACATAAGAATTGCTTGAGTTAGCACTGACAACACAACTAGGCATGCACTGGTGTTTACATCTAACATTGCAAGGATGCCGGTGTTTTTACCACTGTTTTGTCTAAACCTGCTCAGAGCAGAGCTAAGCAAAGTGGTGGTTGAAAGATGTGAGCCCTGACGACACAAGACCCTGCCTCTGGAGCAGAACAACTGTAGCTCGCGAGGAAGAGGAATGCTCTGTGAAAGACACCCGTGGCTCAGCCTGAAGGCAGAGGATGGCCCCAGAGGTCTTCAATGAACAATCCCTGCTCTGCGGGCAGTGCATGAAGCTTTACACAGGCTAGTGCATCTGTTGGGAAGAAGCTGCAAATCATGAGTGTTTGTTTCCTCTCTTCTTCTGAAGCCCACTCTCCCAACAGACACAGGGCCCTGGAACGGGACCCTATCCCCCAAGCAATTTTGCAGGGTTAGCACGATATGCCCCCGCTCTCCAACAAAGTGTTCCTCGTCTAAGTGTTTCCTTTGTGCAAAACAAGTTTCTGTCTCAAGCGAGTAGCAGCAGCTCTGAAACCCTGGAATTGAGTGTTGTGGGTGAGGGTTTCAGCTCAATGAACAGAATCTACTGGTTGATACATATAGCTGGCAAAGATGCTGTGTTATTACACTACCACTAATGATCCGAAAAGCCACTAAAAGACCCCATGCTTATTTCTAGGAAGAGACTTCTATTTTCAAAGGCAAAAAAGAGGAAAAAATGAACCTTTTAGAAAATTACAGTTACCAGAAGACGCAGATATTTTTCTTCACTCATGTCAGTTTACATCAGCCACAGTGGCTGTGTGACATGATTTCAAGACTCAGGCTGAGACAGACTGGATGAGTATGTGCAAGGCTGCATTTACCTTTCATACTGAATCTTGAAACTAATGTTAAACTGATGCCAAGTCATCTTTAAAAAAGGTGTCATTAGAAAAAGGACGAGGTGAAATAGCAATTACAGAGGATTTTGATAAATGCATGTTATGTCATACCTATTTGAAGAAGATTACTGACTGCTCTATGTTGAAAACAGGGTCTAGGTCCTCACTGCGTGCAGCTGCTCCTATATAACTTCTATAGGACTGCTGGAGTGACTCAGGAGCATAAGCCACATTTTCAAAAGTGGCTTAGGCACTTGGATCCAGATCTTTAATGATATCTTGGCAACTAAGGATGCACAGAAGGGTCTAATGGATGCAACAGGGATGTTAGCTGCCACCTGCCTAATCATACTCACCCTGCCTTGATGATTTTCTGTGTGGAAGAGTCTCCCACAGAGACATGAGCAGGGCACTTGTCAGCTGTGGCCCACCTGACACTTTGTCCAGTCTCCCTGCATGGGCTGAGCTTAGTGCAGGCAACCACTGTGCGTGCCAGGGTCCTCATCTGTTCTCAGGTGAAATAACACAATCTCCAACTCCTTTTGCAGCCACCCTATGGCTTGCAGGTTTTAGCAGTCCAAGCCCTTCTGTGGCTCATCTTTTCTGGCACTCAGGAACTGGAGACAGTATGGAGGGTCCAGGCCCTCCCAACTCAGCCAGGCCTAGCACCCCGTCTGGCTTCATGCATGTACCCTGCAGACTGTGCTCCGCCAGTGCAATTCCTTGGGCTACTTTCAGATTTGGACGTGGACACCTCCTGCCATGCTTCCCGGACATAGTCACCACTATACTGACTTGCCTGTTCAGACCATTGACCCTCTCCACTTTGTCCCCTGCTCTTTCTCCATGCAGCCATCAGACTTGCGGCTCCAGCTTGCTGCTCTGCTCCACCCTCTCCTGGGATGCGCTCTGGAGCTGTCCAGCACCAACCCGGATGCTCCTTTACTCCGTGCTGGTTTGGAGCCAAGGGTCTTGGCTGTTTTACCCTGCTCCTCTAAAGTTGATGAAGCTGATTTCCCTTAAAGGGCCAACCTCCCCACTGTTACTTTCCTCCTAAGCAATAGGGGAAGGGGACCCCGTTATGCTGGCAATTACACGGGTGCCTCTGCAGTTTAGGTACAGAGTTTCCAGCGGACTTGGAACTGAACACTTCTGTAAATCCTGGTAGGCATCTGTTTGCATTTTCAGGTATGTACACACAGGTGGTTAATCTGGCCTTTGACAATCTAAATTCTGTTTAAAGTCAGTGAAGCTACAGCTCCTACGGTCCAGATACTAAAGCGATTTAGAACCCTAATACGCATTCAAACCAATTTTGAAAATGGGACTTAGGAGCCAAAGTGAATCCTGACTCATTCACTTTCAAATATGATGGGATCGAATCTGTGATCCCAACAACCACACCTCCTGCCATGTCACACGTGCGTGGCAGGATATGTGATTTTGGGATCAGGGGTTATCTCCCAACTGTGCCTTACTTGCTGGTGTAGGGGGAACCCAGGATCATGAGCTCAGGCACCCCTTGTACTGGCAAAATGAAACTGGGAGGCCTACAATCAGCTGATCGCCAGTTAAGACTGGGAACCAAACTTGTCCCCAGCCCTGGCTGCCGATCAGCTGATTGTCAAAACCCCAGCTGGGAGGCACAGGGACCCTGGGATCTGGGGCGTACATGTGGATTTAAGTCTTGGCACATGGGCTCCCCAGGCACCAGGAGCCTTATAAACCCTATTGCTGCCCAGCTGGGCTACACATGGGATTTTTACTCATCCCCAGGCCCAGGGGTCCCTGGGAATGGGTTGAAGCAGCAGTCTCTGGACTCCCCTGCTCCAGGACCCAAAAAGCCATGTGTGTTGCCCAGCTGGGTGGCACACAGGGTTTTGACAAGTTATGGGGCACAAATGGCCACACATTCAGTTTAAGGCATAATACAAACAAGTCTCAGAATTAATCTGCATTATATATTATATGTGGAATAAGTGTATGGCTTCTTATGCCTTAAATTGACTTGCACATGGGGCCAGGTTACTATTTAAGGCATAATTAACCTGTAATGTGTCAGGGGCCTAAGTGACCAATACACTTTTGAAAATGTTATCCCTATATTTGTCTAAAGACATTTCCAGCTCAGACCTTTGGCAGAATTAGTTATTTGACTGCAATATCTGGCAGTTCCTCATATACCACAGGCAACTGTAT